ATGTTCAAAATTATCGGTGGGCTATGCAAGGGTGTTCAAAGTCTATTTTTAATCAAATACTTACTATTTTTAGCTGATTCAACTTGTCATAGTCAAGATCATCATTTCCAAACACTTGCAAAACCTCTTCTCTAGCTTGTTCTTGCCAAATAGGATACTTGCACAATAAAATCATAGTCCAAACAAGTAAAGCTGAAGTAGTCTCTTGCCCAGCAAGATAGAATAGCTTACACTCTTCAATCACCTCATCAATACTCATACCAAATTTCTTGTTATTTCCATGTTGTTGAATTTCTTTTAAATTGGATGCCAATAATGTACCCAATAAATCATCAGGAGCTTCTCCATTTTCAATCATACTCATTCTTTTCTTGATAATTCCCAATATCAATACGCGCACTTCGTTAAAGATTTGCTTCATCCTTCTGTTTGTTTTTGTTGGTATAAACCTATGGTTCAAGAAATTAAGTAGAATTGAAGTTGCAAATAAGAAAAGTTTCATAGTAGACACTGAAGACGTAATTAAGTAACTAAAAGTGTGTCTTTTCAAACCGTTTTAACTTTTAGATGAGATGATCACATAATTCAACATAGTATCAAAGTCGTCAACGATCTGCGTTGTAGTCTCATCCACATTCATTATTAGAAGGAACTTTCAACGACGTGGCCTATGAACACGTAATTAAATACGATAGTAGATATTGAAGACGTAACGAAATAACTAAGGACCCGTTTGGTCAGACAAAAAAAATTCACTTTTTTTAATCAGTATTTGGCCATGAAAATTTTAAATTTCACTTGAAGTTGAATTTCGGAATTTTTCGGAAATTTGAAAAACTCCAAAAAGTTGAACCCTAAGAAATCAGTAATTGTACCTCCATCCCGGGATGTATAATGAGCGTGCTATTTGTAAAAGTAGTTCCATTTGCTCTTTTTGAAGTTCAAAAATCTTTCTTCCTTCTTCATAACTACTGCCAAAAGCAGTTCTTGAAATGGCATCACTTGTTAAAGTTTGTAGATATGGCCACACATCTATCTCTGATCCTCCTGTCGAGACAACTTTCTCCCATTTGCTCAGCATCTCACTAGCAGTCAATAAGAATGTAGGTAGCATATGCTGCACGTTATGCATTAGACATAATAAGATCAGTAGAGGTGAATCTAAGATTTAAATCAGTAATATCAAAATATGTACGATTTTATTACATGCGTACATTATGCGAGTTAAAAAGGAATTTTTTTAGTTGAATCTACCGAAATCACTCTAGATCCTCCTCTTATTAGTAGTGGTGATAGATCAAATGAACTTTACTTTCCAATTTTTGACTACAAATAAGAATCTAACCTTATAACCACCAAAACTTATAGTTTAGTAACATCGATGAGAGGGAATTCGATACTCATCACCCCCTTTCCCCTTTCCTTGCCCTAATCCCATAACATAATGATAAGTGTGCAGTCTGGTGCACTAAGGTCCCGCTATGCGCGGGGTTCAGAGAAGGGCCGGACCACAAGGGTCTATCATACGCAGTCTTACCCTGTATTTCCGCAAGAGGTTGTTTCCACAACATAACGGTAAGTAAAATAACCACACACAAAAAAAAAATCCAACCTTAAGCAAGTCAATAATTTAGCAAATGTTACGCTGGTTGTCAGCCTACCACAATCTTCCTCCTATATTCGGATTTGAGACCGACAATTTGAGCAAGCTTATATAGGCATAATTCTTAAGCAAGTCTACAATAAACTACTAAAAAAAAAGTAGTGCAAATTGACACAAGATAGTTTCATCTTAAAAACCTTCAATTTGTCAAGGTGAAAAGCAGGATTGATAAGCCTTCTATGTTTAGCCCATTTATCTGCTTCATATCCAGCAAGTCCATTTGCTGCCAACTTAGTAAGTGGAGTGCCAGGTGGCTTTTGAAAAATGTAATTTTTCGTTAGCACCTCTCTTATAAGTTCAGGGTCTACGATAACAATTGCTGGTCTTGGCCCATACCACGCCAAACAATTCTTACCTACAAAAGTACAACAACTTTTGAGTTTAAACTTTTGAAGAATTAACATAAATAGTCGTCTCCCCATCGCTTAAATTTAAAATAGTCGATGCATATATAATACATAAATAATTTAGGTATATTATGTGTATAATCAGTGTATAATCAGTGTATAATTCACCAGCTAAGGAAAGTAAATAATGAATATAGCTGACTATTTGTATCAAGATCCCTTTAAATTTTATCACGGTGTAAACATATTTACACACAAGTCACTATTAGATTAATAATAAGGTACATTTTTATGATAAACATCGGTAACATAGTAGCTAACTTACTATAACTAATTAAGTCAGTGACAATAACTTAAATCCTTATTATTTTCAAGATCTTAGGTAACTAGTTCGAGAACATTTAGTAAGTTATTAATCTTGACATTCTCAGATTACCCTTAATAATACTCTCTTATAGCAGAGGTGGAATTAGAATTTTGAGTGTATAAGTTCTTGATTCTGGAGAAAAAGCGAGGGTTACTAGGTTTTCGATAAATTATTTTGTAGTTTGTACATATGAATTTTTTTAAATAAAATACATGATTTGAACCAAAGCTATTGGATTATGTCGAACTCATACGCAATACTCTAGCTCCATCCCTATCGTACAACATAACATGATATGCTTAAAACCGCAAGATTTAAGGGATACTTTTGGTATGTTAACACACCTCTAATATCAAATCACAAGGTTCAGCAATTTTCTTTATATATTTAAATTTTGTGTTCAGTTAAACTAAGACACAGAAAATAAAACGACGGAGACACTACGTACCATATGTGGTGATGGTTTTGTGGAAGAAGGGCATGACTCTAGGCCAAATATTATGAGAAAAATCAATAGGTTTAGACAAAGCTTCTTTACCCATCTTCATCATTTCATTCACATCTCCAAACAAGAATCTATAAGAGTTTCCTTTGAAACCTTGTTGTCTAAGGCATTTCTCTAATTCTTTTGGTTTGAACCAAACCCAATTCAAGATTTTCCATGCCCATTTTAATATAAAGATAACTACAAATGATGAGATTGCAATTTTTAAACTGTAATATGATATCTCCATTGTAGGCTTTTTCCACACTGAGCTCTTTGATCTTGATAGTATTATATATACTTGATGAAAATAAAAGGACTATTTTTTTATGAGCTAAATTTTGACTATAATTAAGAAATTGATGATCACACGCGTCTTTAATGCTTATGAAGCAATACACGTCATTCTGTCTCTCTCTCTAGGTTTTTTGAATTTTTTTTTTCTGTTAAGTAGGCGTTTCGACATAAAAATTATAATTTTTGAAAAAAAAAGTAGTACTTTGAGTTAAGTTAAAAAATATTGTAGTTTTGTGAGTAGGAAAAAAATTTGAAACTTTTGAAAAACTCATTTTCAAAAAATTCCAAAAACTTTAAAAATTTCTTGAACAAACACATTTTTGAGAAAAAAAAAAATATGGACAATTGGGGCCTTAGTATCCCATTGTTTTTTGAGTTTAAGTTATATACATCGGCGGAAGATTTTTTTATCTTATCAGGTCATCCAAATATCTACAGGTAAGTCTCTTTATAATGTGAGATTTGTAATCTAAATAAGATAATTTTTGCATAATAAATAAAATTAATCAGATAATAATTTTATTGTATATAACTTAAATTCTTTTATTTTAAAGATTCAAACACAAATTCAAAGTCTAAGGAAAGGAGGGTCATCCTAGTACTAGTTAAAAATTTAAGGTTATCTGGAATTTCCAATGCTTGGTTGCTAAGTTTTGGAATAAACATACAAGTCAAAGTAATAATAATATAATTAATCTTTTTTCTTTATAGTGAAAGAAGGACTAGAAATATTAAATTTCTATCTTCCCTTTCCTTGTGGAACAAGGAGTAGAATAATCTCTGGAGCAGAGATTGTGATGGGTTGCAGTGGAATATATATTTTTAAAAAAAGGCAATATAGAAAAATTGAGATGTTATCGACTATTATTTTGAGAGCGCCGAATCAGATTTTGCCAACATTAGTTAAGTCCTGTATTTCAATTTTCATATGATATTAAACTTTCATTAGTTCCATGTCTCTATATGAATGAAAAAAAGTACATTCTTAACCCAGTATGTCAAATCCTTTAAGTGGACTAGGGGTAATTGGTATGAAAGAAAATATTTTTCGGAAAATATTTTTTAATAGTTTAAATATTTTGAAAAATATTTCTTTTATTAACTTATTTTCTTTCAATTGGAGGAAAATATTTTCCTTATCAAGATAAAAGAAAATATTTTCTAAAATTACTTCTCAACCTTCCTCAACATCACCAACCCACCTCCACACCCACGCACCTAACCCCACGTCATGCCTACCCACCCCATCCTCTCTCTCTCTCCAGAAAGGCATTTTTTTCTTTCAAATTTCGGAAATTTTCGAAAATTTGAAAAATTGCAAAAAGCTGCTTTTAAAAAATTTTACTCACAAAACTTCAAAACAACCCAAACTGAAATTTATGTTCAACCACAACTCTAAATTTTTTTTCACCATTTTTTCGAATTTTACAATTCTTATGTCCAAACGCCTACTAAGATATTATTTTTATTCCTACTCCAAAATATATGGGAACCATTTTTTGTTATGTTTTCTATCTCATGTCAAACAGCCTCTCTACCTGCGTACAGACTATCCTCCCCAGACCTCATCTGTTGGGAACATACTGGGTTTGTTGTTGTTTCTATCTCATGTCACCAAAGCAGAATTTTTCCCTTTTGGTGTACATGAGGAAAGGGTAGTTTGAAGCCGCAGCCATCAACCTCACCAACGTTTTTTACCAAGAAAAGGTGAAATATACATACACTTAATAATGGATACGAATTTAATTAATAAGCTACTAATACAATCTTCATGAATAAGAGCAGGAACCAGCTTTCTTCACAAATAAAAAATAACAACCCAAAACCATGTAACAAAAAAAATTAGAATAAGTGATCCTTTATTACCAAATATTAAACTAAACTTCGGAAGCTAATTTGGCTATAAGATGCTCCAAATAATCAGGGACGAAACTAATGTATTAGACACGAATTCAGACAAACCAACAGTTTTTGCTTAGACCCTACTGCAAACCCAGAAACTAAGACGAGCTACAACAACAAGAAGAAGATAGTCAATATATTCCCACAAGTGGGGTCTGGAGAAACTAAGACGAGCTATTCGGGGATAAGTTTAGAGCTCCTAAACTTCAAATTTTGGCTTCGTCTCTGTCTACAACTTGTGTAGAATTAGCTGAGCGCCATGTTGAGGTTGAAGAGTTAGCACTGAATAAGGAACATGAGCATAAGAAGGAGAAACATCAAAAGCATAGTGTTGTAGAATCATAGCAAGTGCCATTTTGGCCTCTAACATAGCAAAGTTTTGTCCAATGCAGATTCTTGGTCCCCAACTAAATGGAAAGTATGCAAACTTGCCTTTTGTTGCTTTGTTTACTCCTTCACTAAACCTCTCTGGATTGAACTCTTTAATATCTTCACCCCATATTTCTTGGTCATGATACAACATTATTGTTGGTAATAGGAGTTGCACTCCACTTGGTAATGATAAGTTTCCTAATTTGGTTTCTGTATGTACCTCTCGACCCATCAAAAGAAGTGGTGGATACAATCTCAAGACTTCCTGAATAATCATAGTTACCTGTTCAAGAACCATTTTAAGAAGAGTTCAGCTTCTATATAGTGACAGTATGTATCAGGTTATCTAAAATTAATTACAACCGGAAATAATAAATTGAATTAGTAACTAGAAAATACGATAGATAACATGCTACAACAGGTTAAATTATACTCATTGTATAAAAATTCGTTAATTTACACGGTCAATGGACATAAGTTAAATTCTTCTTGAAAAGATACAGGTAGGACACCGGGTGTCCACCTAATCACTCCAGTTCTATTTAAAGCATTCAAGTTCAATACACTGATTGTGTAAATCAGGTCACTTGTAAGGTTATTACAAGATCGCTATTATGGTTAAGCATTAGGAAAAATGGTGAATGACTTGATATCACATGTTTGAACTTGGCGCAACTGGTAAGTTGCTGTCATGTGACTAGGAGGTCACGGGTTCGAGCCGTGAAAACAGCTTCTTGCAGAAATGCAGGGTAAGGCAGCGTAGAATAGACCCTTATGGTCAGCGGCGAAGCCACATGGTCATAAGGGTGGCCAGTTGACAACTCTTCGTCGAAAAATTACACTGTGTATATAGGTAAAATATTACGTTTTAGAGGTATACAACACATATTGAACACCCTTTGTCGGAATTTTTTTTTCGCTTCTTTCAAATTTGAATACCTTTCGGGAAATTCCTAACTTCGCCACTGCTTGTGGTCTGGACCTTCCCCGGACCCCGTGCACAGCTGGAGCTTAGTACACCGGGCTACCCCTTTTTTTCACTTGATATCACATGTTAAATTACATAAATTGTCAGTGTATATTAACTTAATTCCTAGTGTTTAAAAGAATACAAAAGAAAAATATACAAAAACCTTCAAACTTAGCGGATAGATACATAGAGAAGATGCACTTACAACTTTGAGTTGATTCAGCATGTCATAGTCAGGTTTGTTGTTGCCAAAGACTTGAAGAACCTCTTCTCTAGCACGAGCTTGCCATTCGGAGTGTTTGCTCAATACAATCATTGACCATGTAAGCAATGCTGAAGTTGTCTCTTGTCCAGCAAAATAAAACAACTTACACTCTTCAATCACCTCATCCATACTCATTCCAAATTTCTTATTTCGATGTTCCTGGATTTCTTTCAAATTGGATTCCAATAATATACCCAATAAGTCATCATTATTAGATGCTTCCCCTGCTTCAATTGCATTCATTCTTTTATTGATAATTCCCAACACAAGTGATCTTACTTCCTGATATATTTGTTTCATCCTTCTATCCTCTTTGTTGGGCAAGAACCTATAATTTAGAAAAGAGTTTAGGTTCTATGCAATAACAGTGTAACTTATAAGGTAACAATGAGGTAAATCTCTACGATACGTACTCATTAATTGATAATCCGATAAAATGTTAACTACCTATTATAATAAGTTAAACAACAGTCATGGTGTAAAAATTGTTTACACTGTTGGTGTATAGTATGACTCCAAACATTTTGATGTATACAACTATATTAGGGGGACGAATATGAAGGTAACTTACTTAATATAACTTGACTCTGTCACTTTTAAGATAATTTTGGCTAGTTCTTGTTGAAGTTCAAACATCTTTCTTCCTTCTTCATAGCTATTGCCAAATGCAGTTCTTGAAATATCATCACTAGTTAAACTTTGAAGATATGGCCAGACATCTACCTCTGATCCTTCTGCTGAGACAATTTTTTCCCATTTGCTCAACATCTCACAAGTACACAAATGGAATGAAGGTACCATATGCTGCATAATATATTACATTTAAACAACCACAATCAGTATTAGAGTTTGCATACTTGGAAAGGTACAAATCAACAGGATTTACTTATATATATTGTATAAAAAAAGTTTACCTTGTCAGTGTATATTAAGTCTAGCTCAGTCGGTCGAGTGCAAGGCTCTTAACCTTGTGGCCATGGGTCGAGCCCCACGGTGGGCGTTAGCACATTATGAAGGGGAGTCTTGGAACAACAGTAAAGTTGTCTCTTTGTGACCTGTAGGTCACAGGTTCAAGCAATGGAATCAGTCACTGATGCTTGCATCAGGGTAGGCTGCCTACATTACAACCCCCTCCCCCCCCCCCCCCCCACAACGGTGCGGTGCTTCCCTAGACCTCGCTCGGATGCAAGATGCTTTGTGCACCGGCTTCCCTTTTATCAGTGCATATTAACATGTTATACATAGCAGGTTACTATTCACAATCCTAGAAACTTAAGCAACTATATCGAGTTTAGAGATACCTTCAACTTGTCTAGGTGAAAAGCATGATTGATGATTCTTCTGTGTTTAGCCCATTTATCTGCTTCATAGCTCAAGATTCCTTCTGCTAACAATTTTGTTTGTGCAGTAGGCGGAGGCTTCTGGAATATATTACTCTTTGACAAGATTTCCCTTATAAGTTCTGGGTCCATGATGAGCAATGCAGGAGTTGGCCCCAACCATATAAAAGACTTCTTACCTATAATTAAGATGCTATATATTCATTAATGAAAAAACCTATTAAGATGACATATAATATCTCACACAAACAAAGTCGCGCAATAATGTTTGTTATGTTATAGACCTAAAAACAACGTAATAAACGTGTCTCTAACAATCTAAGAGACAATTTAAGCGTTCAGATTAATCAGTTCACGTAATGTAATAAGCTATCAGAGAAGGCTGAGGTTCTGTGCACAAGTTTCATTGCCACCTATCTATGAAATATTTACATGTATTTGCCAGTGGCAGGGGGCAGGATTTTCAAAAATTAAAAAAAGCATAACATGCGAAGACGCCAAGAGGATTCAATATCTAATACTCCATATATAATGACATATATGCAGTGTAATATTTCGACAAAAGGGGTTCATCCCCTCCACCCCAGCTTCGCCCATGGTATTTGCTCAGTAAGAAGTGTCACGTCAATATGTGCAGGGGCGAGCAACACAGTCCAACGTTTGAATTCCCTACATTGGAAAATTATTTTATTCAAATAGTGTAAAAATAAAATTTCTTAGATATATATAAATTGTTGAATCCTCTTGGCGTAGGAGAAACTTTTTGTGTAGTGACAAAAATCTTAGACGTGATATTCTTGGGTTTTTTCTTCTTCTCTCTAATCCCTTTATTAGAATTCCTGATTCCGCTACTGCATATATATGCGCTTGAGGAATTCACACAGAGTCAACAGGTTACGCTCCTTATATTGACTGTATATGAAATGGAAGGGAAAAATAGCCACCCAAAAAAAAAAGCATAATGAATGAGAAGGTGCATATGTATTAGGGAATTATATTCACCGTACCGTAATCGATGATGGTTTTTTGGATGAAGGGCATGATTCTAGGCACAATATCATGAGAGAATTTGATAGGCTTGGACTTAGCTTCTTCATCCATCATCACAACTTCTTTCATGTCTCCATACAACAGCTTGTAAGAGTTTCCCCAAAAACCCAACTCTCTGAGGCATTTCTCCAAACACTTTGGCTGCAACCACAGCCAATTCATGAATCTCCAACCCCGTCTATAAAGAATAATTATTATGACAAAGGAGATTGCTAGCGAAATGTATAGCATCTTTGTTTCTTTCTATGATATATAATGGAGAAACGGGCTTGGAAAATCTTGTATTTATATGCATTTCTTTGGGCAAAAGAAGAGTTGCAAAGCAAGCTTATCATGGAGAAATATTATAAGAGTCAAATGTATCTACAACAACAACAACAAACTACAGACTTTACCCCTACCGCTAGGTAGAGACTGTTCCGGCATCCTTCCCTCCAATAACTTCCCGCGTTGTTCTTGGGAGACTCGAACTCACGACCTCTCGATTGTAAGTGGGGTTGCTTACTCTCGTCAAATGTATCTAGATAGCTTGATAAGAAGAATTTGACAAATCAAAGATAGCTGAAGGAACAGAGGAAAGAAGAAAAGTTTAAGAGTCAATGTCCATATTAGTGATCTTGTTTGCCAAGTAAATCAGACTTTTCGTCACCATATTTGACCATATATTTTGTACCTTGCTAAAAATTAATCCTTGATTTTTGCTAAAATTGTCTATTCATTAAGTAAGAACCCGAGCTAAGAGTCGGACAATTCAATAAAGGTATAGAGAAAGCTCCAAGCAACTATTATTGATCTAACCTTATTCAGACACATCAATCAAAGATCTTCTTACCGAATAACTTTCTAGCAAGGAGAGAATCTCGTTGAAAGCAGAAACTCAAACTGTGACGATTATTTTCACTAGGTTTGATGACACTTCGGATTGAATTTGGCTAGGAGTGCACTCGTATAGACTAAACTCTAGTTACGAGATGCGACAAAATTTTAGTATTGAGTGAAAACTTACTTTTCGTTTGGAACCCAGGAAAATCCGCAGCCGCTACAGCCTCTTCGGGTGAGCACTCTCTGCGCACTGGATAACCCCACTATATAATAGTATGCAAGCAAACCACATAGGCATGCAGTAATAAATTTTTTTTTTATTACGTCAAAAAAAGGGACGCGAGAAAGAGAAATAGGATATAGCAATAAGAAAATTAATTACATTACTCAATATGTTTTAAAATAAAATTATAAGTAAAATTTTTTTCCAACCTTGTTTGCAAATTAATGGACTCGGTTTTATCTCAAATGACACTATTTTTTTATAAATAAAAAACTACTGTAATGCAATTTAATTTAATTAGACAATTGAATTAAATTATATTAAATATAGAAGAAGAAGAAGACAACCTTTTATTTTTCCAAATAATCGTCAGCTTATAGCTCTTTATTTTTATCCAATGTTATCATTTAGTAGAAATTTATCCAAAAAACAAAGAATAAACTAAAAGTAAATCTAAACCCGACCCGGAGCAAACTATAAATGGAGCAGAGGTGCGTGTTCTACCCTTCCCTCACAAACCCGATTAGCAAAAATCTCCCCGCCGCAATGGGTTCATCCGGCAACCGTAGCAAGAAGAAATCGTCTAAGTCCGGCCGACGATATTCAGACGATTCTGAATCCCCTGCCACAGACTCCGATTCAATTTCTCACTCCGACTCCGATTCATCTCCGCCGAGTAGCAGTCGCCGCCGCCGAAGCCAAAGCCGAAGTCACAGCCGCAGATCCAGAACTCATGAATATTCCGACGAAGAGAGCAGCGACGCCGAGCGAAAGAAGAAGAAGAGGAAAATCACTGAAGAAGAAATCGCTTTATATATGGCTAAGAAAGCACAGAAGAAGGCTATGAAAGTAGCGAAGAAGTTGAAACAACAGACAGTTTCTGGTTATTCAAATGATTCAAATCCATTCGGAGATTCAAATCTGAACGAGAAATTCGTGTGGAGGAAGAAAATCGAACGAGACGTCACACGTGGTGTGCCGCTGGATACCTTCTCGATGAAGGCAGAGAAGCAAAGGCAGAAAGAACGAATGGCTGAAATTGAAAAGGTTAAAAAGAGGAGAGAAGAACGAGCAATGGAGAAAGCCCAACGCGAAGAGGAATTACAGTTGTTAGCTAGAGAACGGGCCCGGGCCGAGTTTCAGGACTGGGAGAAGAAGGAAGAAGAGTTTCATTTTGATCAGAGTAAAGTTCGGACTGAAATTCGCCTCCGTCAGGGTCGGGTTAAGCCCATTGATGTTCTTATAAAGCAGTTAGAACCTTCTGGAGATTTTGATGTGGAAATAGATGAACCTTATGTTGTGTTTAAAGGTTTAGGTATAAAAGAAATGGAAGAACTTGAGGAGGATATAAAATTGCATATCGATTTAGATAGGGAAACGCCGATGCATATACAGTATTGGGAGGCGCTTTTGGTGGTGTGTAATTGGGAATTAGCTGAAGCTAGGAAAAAGGAAGCTATGGATAAAGCGCGAGTGCGCGGAGAGGAATTACCACCTGAATTGCTTGCAGAAGAGAGGGGGTTGCATTCGAGTATCGAAGCAGATGTTAAGTCTTTGTTACAAGGTAAAGGGTATGGTGAGTTAGAGGCGATGCAGTCGCAGATTGAGTCGCAAATGCGATCTGGTACTGCTAAGGTTGTAGAGTACTGGGAAGCTGTTCTTAAGCGGCTTCAGATTTTTAAGGCAAAGGCTTGTTTGAGGGAAATTCACGCGAAAATGCTGCGCAAACATCTTGAGCATCTTGAGAAACCATTGGAGAGTCGCGATGTAGAGGTGGAAGAAGAGACATTGAGGATTAATGAGGAAGATATGGAGCATTATCAAGACGAGGTTAGAGCTATGTCTCCGGAGCCCTTCTTGAATGAGGAGGCTAAGGAGAAGGAGGTGGAGGAAGAGGAAGAAGATGATGATGAAGAGGCGGGTTCTTATTCGCCTGTGTTAATGCACGGTGATGACAACGAAGAAGCAGTTGATCCTGAAGAAGACAGGGCAATACTTGAGAGGAAACGTATGGCTGTTTTGGAAGAGAGACGTGCACAAGATAAGGTTTTGACACCAACTCCCTTAGAAGACAACAACTTTGAGAAGAAAGCATTTAAATCTATGGGAGTGATGGAGGAAGGGGATGCAGTATTTGGCTCAAACGACGAAATTAATCTTGATTCACAAGTGTACTGGTGGCACGACAAGTATAGGCCGAGGAAACCGAAGTATTTCAACCGTGTTCATACTGGTTATGAATGGAACAAGTATAATCAAACTCATTATGATCACGATAACCCCCCTCCTAAGATTGTGCAGGGATACAAATTCAATATCTTTTATCCTGATCTCGTTGACAAAGCAAAAGCTCCAACTTATGTCATAGAGAAAGATGGAGATAGTGCTGATACTTGCATCATAAAGTTCCATGCTGGCCCTCCTTATGAGGATATAGCTTTTCGAATTGTTAACAGGGAATGGGAGTACTCTCATAAAAAGGGGTTCAAGTGCATATTCGATCGAGGAATTCTGCATCTGTATTTTAACTTCAAGCGTCACAGATACCGTCGTTGATGGGCTTCAAGAAGTAAACACTTTGTTGCAAGGTTCAGCTTTATGAATTTCTTGTTTATGTACTTTTTTAGGTCAGTTTATATGTGATTTGATTCATGGAGAATTTTGTAAACTGGCCATAATGTGTGTAATCCAAAGCTTTGGGCTCTTCTGATAAACTTATGCTAATAGTAAGTGAAGTCACTGTTGCCTGGCAACCTTATAAGGCTAGCCCTTTCAGTCTTCCTCATGTTTCTTTGCATGCACTGTAACTTACATTAAGCTAGTGATTTCTATTTCCTCCAATAGTTTGAGCTGCATCTGGTAAATTAAGAGAGATATGAATGTCTTGTTGGAGATGAACTATCAGAATTTACAATTGCTTAGACCCTTTATTTTGGCATTGAAATGTTTAAAGAATAGGTATTTATAATGTGGTGTTTCATATTGAGTTAACAGTGTTTGCACGAATTGCACTAAGATGCGCATAAATCTGACGGAGAGCCTTCATGGAATATCTGCAAAATAGAGCAGCCTATGGAGATTCCAAAGGTAATTCTAGATTTTATAGTTCCCAGGTTGAATTGTGCTTTTGATATGTCTAGGTGCCCCTTTAGAGATGGATCATTCCTACTTGATTGTTTCCTTGAAGGTCTATGTTCCTTGAATAGGAAAAGCAGCAAAGTCTTATAAAGTTGCTTTTTCCTATTTGAAGTATTCTGTACCCTTCTAGAAAATGAGATTGCCTCTGGATTTTGAAATTAAGAGTCACTTAGTTGGATAGGAAAGGGAAAGAATGAAACAACGAATAAATAGCAGTACAGTTATACCTCTCTATAACAATATTCCTATATAACAGCCGGTCGCTATAAAAGCTAAGTTTTTCCCGGAACCAATGTTTATGTTATATTATAATATATCTTCTATAACAACACTTCACTATAGAAGTCCAAAAATATTAGAACAACAAGGCTGTTATATAAAGGTTTGACGGTATATAAATTCACTTATTTACTTGTCCAATTTCTTCAAACCAACAACTCCCAAAGAGCAACGGATAAAAGCTTACATCAACCCTTCCTTTTCTTTCCCACCCCTTTAAGAGAAGATAGGCAAGGGAAGAAGAGAGAAAAAGTTGGTGAATTGGTTTTAGATTGCAATGATAAATTTAAACCCGGAATGTGCAGTAAAAATTCATTTCTTTCCTTCTACCCTCTTGATAATATCACAGTTATTAAGTAATATATGCTATAATATTAAAAACGAAACCCCTTTAGGCTTTAACTATGTTAACAATGGGAAGAAAACTACAAGTAGAAAGAAAGCTGCAATTCATAGCAACTGGGAACTAGAATGCTTTCCAATCGTTTTCCACTCTCCTTGGGCCTGACATGATTGAAGGAATCAGTGAAGCCGAATCTGCAGAATTTATTAATGTTTCATTTTCTATTTGTGGGTTAAGAAAGCTATACTTTAGCTTCTTTTCAATGTCCAGAACACCCTCCATGACCTGCAACGTCTGTATGACTTCTCTGTAACACTGCATATCTTCACGGTGTTCATCAATCAGATCGACTGGTTGTCCTTCCTCTCTGCCTTTGTCTTGAAAAGCTTCAAGATACCCTCTGATCCTCTGGTTCAGATAGGTGGAAATGTTTCCTTCCACACAAGATGTCCAAGATCATAATGGCCAAGCCAAAGATATCTACCGTTTCTATAATGGTTGCACTAAGTCGTTGGAAGCCAGATAACCCGGAATAGCCTCTCATTTTGGTAATTTGGCTCTGATTTCGGTCAATTAGCTTGGGAAGGCCGACGTCAGTGAGTTAGCATTGTATCCTCATCTAGGAGAATATTTGGGACTCAAAATCCAAACACAGAGTTCTTTGCGTGATGGGGAGCCTTGGCGTAACCGGTAAAGTTTCTGCCATGTGACCAGGAGGTCAGAGGTTCAAGCCGTGGAAAAAACCTCTTGTAGAAATGCAGGGTAAGGTTGCGTACAATAGACCCTTGTGGCCCGGCCCTTTCTCGGACCCCGCATATAGCGGGAGCTTAGTGCACCGGATTTTCCTTTCAGAATTCTTTGCGTGCAGTCTTCATAACTGTGGGCTAGTGAGCTCTTTACTACTATGGTAGATTCTTTTATCTAATGATACGTTGCTCATAAGCTCGTATACTAGAAGATACTGAGATTTCTCAGCATAGAATCCAATTAATTGTACCAACTTGACAGGATGTCAATTCTCTCACCCTCAGTTAGGAGTGATTTTTTGACTTGGCCTAATCCATCAAGGCATTTCAGTGCCACCTTTGTGCAATCTTTCTAGGACCTTTGAACAACTGATCCAAATCCTTCTTCACCAAGCTTCTTCTTTCTGAAGTTCTCTGCTATTAGGTCATCATATGAATATCCACCTGGCATTCCTGGCACGTGGTCGAGATAATTCCCCCCGACTTCACCTGCCTCTCTCTTCCAGAATATGAGAACTACATGCCAACTATGACATCAGCAAGATTAATTCTTATGATTAATCCTATTATTGCACCATTTAGCTCTTTTTCCCTCTTGCACCAGCTAGTTCAGCCAAAGTGATGTACTTTCAAGGTTTTGCACCTCTCAAGTACAAAGAAGAGAAAAACAAAAGTACCCCGCTGTAACGACCTAACTGGCCGTTTTGAGCATCTGCACTTCGCTTGGTAGTTTGAGGGCTCGAGTATGTCCGCATGATGTATTATGACTTGCGTAAATTGTCGGTGTTGGTTTTCAAGTTATCCCGAATCGATTTGGAAGAATGAACTTAAAGATTTAAGCTCTAAGGTGAAAGAGTTGATCAAGTTTGACTTTTTAGCATTGGACCTCGGAATGGAGTTTCGTCGGTTCCATTAGCTCCGTTGGGTGATTTTGGACTTAGGAGCGCGTCCGGATTTTAATTTGGAGGTTCGCAGTCGAATTAGTCTTGAAATGGCGAAAGTTGAATTTTTGGAAAGTTTGACCGGGAGTGGACTTTTTGATATCGGGGTCGGATTTCGATTCTGAAAGTTGGAATAGGTCTGTAGTGTCAAATGTGACTTGTGTGCAAAATTTGAGGTCCATTGGACGTGATTTGATAGGTTTCGGCACTAGTTGTAGAAGTTGAAGTTCCAAAGTTCATTGATTTTGACTTGAGGTGCGATTCATCATTTAGAGGTTGTTATGTGTGATTTGAAGCCTCGAGTAGGTTCGTTTCGTCATTTAGGACTTGTCCGTAAAATTTTCACCATTTGGAGTTGATTTGATATGGTTCAGACGCTTGTGTGCAATTCTAGAAGTTCTTGAAGTTTACTTTAATCTTCATGCATTTTGGCGTCCGATTCGTGCTTTTAGAGGTTACTTTGATGATTTGATCGCGCGAGCGAGTTCGTGTTGTGTTTCTGGACCTGGGTGCATGGTTGGTTTAGAGCCTCGTGGGCTCGGGTGAGTTCGAATTGGTTTCAGAATGATTTTTCATGATTTTTAAGTATTGGTACTGGTGTCATCGCATTTGCGATGTTTTGTCGCAAATGCGAATACTGCAATTGCAAAGCAGCCTCGCATTTGTGATTGTAGGTTGTCCGCATTTGCGATACTTTGGGTCGCAAATGCGACCTCAACAGGAATTCTTTTGTTCGCTTTTGCGATGAGTTGTTCGCATTTGTAGGGTTTACATTTGCGAACCCCATATCGCAAATGCGACATCTACAGCCTACATATAGCTGAGAATTCCGAGACTTAGCTTCATTTTGTTTTATTTTAAACCCTAGCTTCAATGAGAGGCGATTTTGTGAAGGAATTTTCATACCGAATCATTGGGTAAATACCTCAAATCAATTCTCAATTACATTTCATGATTATACATAAGATTTAACATCAAATTCATGAGAATCTAGGGAAAAAATTTGGTGATTTTGTTAAAGTTTTTAAAAATAAAAATTTGGGATTTGAGAGTCGAATAGGACTCAGATTTGAAAACAAAACACATATTTGGACTCGTGAGGCTATGGATAGTCAAGACCTACCCTTGGACCTGAGTTTTGACCGGGCTGTCCCAGGGGTTGACTTTTTAGAAATTGTATAAAAATCACAGCTTTATTAATTGAAATTGTTTTCTCTTGCATTGTGTGAAGTATTTAAGTCGTCTTTGGCTAGATTGAGCCGAACAGAGGTGAATTTGTAAAGGAAAAAACTAAATTGAGTATTGAGTTAGCCGAATTGAGGTAAGTGTCTTGTCTAACTTTGTTTAGGGAATTTTTCCTACTATTTGACATTGTTTGCTAAATGCGGGAGTCATACATATATGAGGTAACGAGCATATATGCATGTGCCAGAGTTAACTATGCCCGGGATAAATTATGTTATAAATTGTGTTTTGTAGAATTACGTGATCTTCTTGCTTCATGCCTTATTTGACTCCTAGATACTAAGAACATAGTATTAAATTTTAGAGACAAAGACTTAGCTTATTATAACTTGATCAAATTTGATGGAATTTAGAGAATACATTGATGTGTCTAATTTGGTCATCACTATATGTAATCATTAATACATCACTACTGCCGATATTCTTGAGATACTAGATTCTATACTCGTGTTGTAGATCATTCGTGAGACCTGTTGAAACACTTGAATAATACGGTTCTTGAGGGTTTATTTAACTATTGTTGGCTTGGAAAGTTATGATTCGGATTCGCACTACAACAAAAAAGTTTTTAGTGGCAATTATTTTGGTCTTTAGCGGCAATTAGATAATAACCGGTGTATCGAGCATCGGGAAAGGCTTTACCGGCCATCAGCCAAGTGCCGGTAAAGAGTCCAACTATTGCCGCTAAAGGTGTATAAATTATATTTACTAGCAAATATTGGCCATTAAAAAGCCTATATTTTACCGATAAAACCCATTATATGACCAATAAAAGAAGACTTTCTGATGGTAATTATAAGGGCCAGTAAAAGATATCTTTTAATAATTTTTGTTATTGCAAAATCAAGAGAGTTTTCCCAATATTCTTACCGTCAATCATTCCTATTTATATTCAATAATAATACTAAAAAACATGATAAATTTCATCAAATCCATAACAAACAAAAATAACTATTAATCCATAATCTCAAAAGTGTCAACAACATAACAAAATAAAAAAATTATTCGGATCCAATAGCTAGTGTCATTTTGTGCCTAATAACTAGTGTATCAAATAGTTACTATACGATACAATATACAACGTATAAAAATTTCTTCAAATTCTTGAACAAAATGATGTCTTTCACTTGTCAAATTTTGAACATCATG